GGTCCGGTACGGGCGCAACACTGAGGGTTGCGATCCGTTGCCGGTCACGAAAAAAGACAAAAAGGAAAAAAAAAAAAGGGGGGGAAGATCCTTTTATTTGGGTCAGAGATGAGGATTATATATAGTGCCACATTCCTCTGCTATACACCAGCATTGCGCAAAGTTGTAACCGGCTTACAATGCACAAAGCCTCTGACCTAGCAGTTCTAACTGCAGGAATTTACCTCAGGGAAATAAGTAGACAGATAAAAATATAAGGATGCTTATCAAAGCATGCTTACAAAATGAAACTGCAGACACAATTCAAGTGCCCAGTAACAGAATTAGCTAAATAAAAGTTGGTATGTTCTTCAGATAGAACACTAAGTCATCATCAAAACAATGTCAGCATGTATTTACTGACATAAAAAGTTGTTTGCACAATACTGTTCAGTGAAAAAAGCAGGCTGTAAAACAGCAGATATCATCTGTTGTTGGTTAGAGCACATAAAACACCCACACATCCACATGTGGACAAAACTTGGGAACACGTGTGTCATGGCAATTCACAACAGTAATTATCTCTGGGACTGCGGGCCATTTTTGTATTCTTCAGTTTTTACATGTTCTAAAATGTGAAAAGCAGCATGTTCTACTTCTGGTCATCAGAAGCAGGAACGAGTGCTGTCAGGGTCCACCAGCCTCTGTTTAGGAGGCCCCATTTAGGAACCTGTCTTCCATGACGCACGCAGACAAGCTCAGCTCTACAACTTACCGAGCTGGTATGCGTTCCCGAAACTGCGAGAAGGAAATCCCTTCGAGGGCTGCCCAGGTGTCCTCGGACCGGCTCATGGAGTACTTTCCTTGTGGGCACAGCCCCATACAGTAGTGCAGAACAGGCAGGGTGCACAGCCAGCCGTCGACTCCTGCATCCACACAGTGTCGGCACAAGGTCACCAAGTACATGCGCCACCTGGAAGGAGATGGAGGTCCCTCAGTGAGCCAAGCATGGCCAGGATCAGACTCACCCTGAGGGTGTGAGCACTGGGGAACAGTGCAACTAGACCAGGA